TTTAATTTAAAAATTCTTAGAACACAATAAATATTCCCAGCTATGCTATGAAKATTATATAACCCATGACACACAATTTCACCCAATAGAGTATAATCACAATCACGGTCACATGATGTGCGTTCGGTGTYGTCATATCTGAAAAAATAGCATGCATGAATTGTTAATATTGAAACCAAGAGATCATAATTAGATCTTCCTAACTTAAATTAGCTTCAATTYTATAAATACTAGCTATTCATCTTTGCTGATAAGTTTGAAAAAATAAAAATAAATATGATGAAAAAACGTGTAGTTACGTTATAAAATGATAAATTGTGTAACGGAAAAAATAGCTGCTGTTTTCTGCAGCATTCGTTTCTTTTAATCCTACAACGAACAGACGCCCAAAGTATCGATGAGTTATTATTATTTTTCTGCGATGATCACGAGTATACAACAGTTTCATGACTTTGAATAGATAGCGACTGATGTAAATCGACCCCGCCCAAGGAAAAAAAGCACAAGAAGAAAGCTGCCAGTCGCGTCGCTGTTGCATGTCTGAGTATTACATTAATTTTTGGCTTATGAAAAGCAAGTGTATATGGTTAAGTCATGGCATATCATATTACTGTAATCTCTTTGATAGGGCAAAAGTTGACTCATCTCATACCATACTTAAGGGCAAGAGGCCTTGAGGATATCGTCTAACTTCTCAGATAACTCCATGAAATTTTGGAATAAGAAAACGTGTTTGTTTTTGTARTTAGCAATCTCTTTGAGCTCACTACGGTCAATTCCTTTTCCAACGCCAACGGCAATCACGGTAACTTTCTTTTTCTAAAGAGAGGATTTAATTAAAATTAGCAAAGAAGAATCTTCATAAATCATAAAAAACATGGTAAAGAGATAGTACAAAAAGAAACTGGAGTCATTAATCGAGTACGTGCCGACAAGCGTATGAGAAATTCGCAGATAGAAGTGGCGTTATTGGCACATTCGTGGCAAATGCGCGAGCTTGAACAATTCCATAATGGTATAGTTCCCCGCAATGGCGTATTGTCTGTTTGTGCAAAATGCATCTTATGTATTGATAAAAGTAAGCAAGATGGCAAATACCTTATAAGATTTAAAAAGGACAATTATGAGAAGTGAAGTTTCTCTTCTTCGACAGCGTTCTCGACAAGAGAAAACGTCCATTTTGCACAGAAACTACGTCTTCGTCGGTTTGATAAGACATCCGCCATTTTGATACTTTTAGTAGTACCATGAAGCAGTTCGACAAAACATACACGAATGTCAATTGGGGACGCTATCAAATTCATGTTGTTCTTTCAAAGTATACATAAACTATGKGTGCTTGTTAAACTATACTTACCAATAGTGGATCAAGAACAGTTTTGTACGGCTCACTGCCCCTGTTTGTTTTACCATCAGTCAACACAAACAAAACGTTTGGTCTGTTGCTAAGGTAACCACCGCTGGGAGAATAAAGGTGGCTATTGGCTAAAGAGATCGCTCTGTCAGTACGGGTTCCACCTCTAAGATATTTGATGCCTTCAAAGCAATGCAAAAAAAGAATAATTTTATATAAGAGATTTGCATTGTAACTTTATTCAACGTCATATCCGTCTGGATTCCCTTTGTTGTACCATTTTGAAAGGTAAGGGTGCCGTTTGATGGAAGCAAGATGCCGGACTGATGATCAACTTCGCACTTTAATATAAATGCAGAAGATTCAATAGAACAAATGAGATTTAATTACCGTAAATCACTTTCTCCAATTGGAGAGGATTTTGAGCGGCTTTGTCGTTAAACTTGAATATCACATTAGCCTTTGAATTATAAGCAATGACACCGAGTCGCGATGCACTTGAAGCGTACTCAAAATGCTTGATCATTTTCATCACGAAATCTTGAGACTTCTTGAAGTTAGCGGAGCCAATACTGCCTGATCGGTCCATGATGATACCCACGTCCATGGGGGTTTGACACGGGGGACTGGCTGGTTTTTTACCTGGATTAGTATCATACATGTGTTAAGATATATAGCCATGCACTTCTTTTCCATTGTTAGACGTAGAAATTGTTAAAATTATCTGAACGGGAACACACCCACCTTTCTCTTTTTTATTTATTACTTTTTATTTATTTATTTATTTATTTTCCTCTAAATTGGCATTTCATTTTTTTTTTTTTGCCTCAAATCATGTAAAGTTGAAAATGGGGAGTCCCTCGTCTCCTCTTACAATTTTAAAATTATGTCATATTTCTTAAGTTTTATTAGAAAATATTTTTAGAAAACTCGTCATGGCTCAGCTGTTATCTCTGAATGTGACATAGCTACATAGGCATGCATGAGTACCAGTTTTTTTAATATTTCGCTGGGTTTGCGTTTGACTATTAATATAAATGTATCGTTGAAGAAAATACCAAACCTTGGTTTGTTTCTTCAGAGAATTCATATAATTCTTTGATAATGCATGGTTTTAGTAATAAGAGGCAAACCTGTTGGACATCCGTATAGTCCCATACGCATCGATACCCATCCCTTCCATGATTTGACCTTTAAACGCAGAGCAATAGCCACTATTGGTTCGGCAAGTTTATGAACTTCAAAGTCCCTGTTGTCCTTGTTCGCTTGGAAAAGCTTTTAAAAAAATACAGTAAATCTACGATTAGAGAAGTGAAGGTGACAGTGACTGCTCTCACTTTATCATAGCACCAGCTTCAGAGACTGAAATCTCCAATCTTTGCGACGGCAAATTTATGGCGGCAAAGACGAACCTCGTAGACGAGGTTTTTAAATTCCTATTTACAAAATAATACACTATAATCTACTAGACGAACCAAAGACGAAAATCGTACTTATTGGGTTCACCTAGTGTGAAAATGGAGAAAAAATGTAGCCAATTTTGACAATAGTCTGTATAAACCCATCAATTCTAGCCATGACCTATTTTGGTCGTGCAATCCGTTTGTCAATCGCCAGTCATGCACGTTTTTTACGACAACCTCTTTTGAAATAGGCACGTAAAGTTTTTTTTAGTTTAAAAACTAAAAATGGAAAATTGTTATCACGAGAAAATCTAATGCAATTGCTGGGATGGGCAAGAACATTCACCGAATATTCAAAAT